GTGTGTGTGTGTGTGTGTGTATCCTGACCTGAACTATCAGCTGCTGAGTTTCTATGTTGTGTACGAAGAAAGTGAATCCCTGCTCCCACACCGGGTCTTTACTCATAAAGACAACCTGTAAATAAAAGAGATGACAGGGAGGAAAATAGTTACCAAATGATGATACAGATGATTTAAAGACAGTGGGAGTGGGGGGGATTATTACCTTGCTTTTCTGAACATCTTTATCAAGGGCAAATTCCACATAGGAGCTGGGACCCACATTTTTCTTTGTAAGCTGAAAAAAAAAAAGAGCAGATTAAGCCCGTGTGTGTTTGCCTGATGGGGTTAATTTTCTGTCTTTTACAATGGAAAAAAAATCTAAATTTAGATAAGTCATTTTTTTTTCTTAAAATAAGTGCATTTGTTCTTGACTTGAGGAGGTAAAAGAGACATTTTGCCAATGGAACAAGACAATTTACATTTAAAACAAGAAAAACAACTGCCTTGTCTTATTTCAAGTGCATTTTATCTAAATATCTTAGTAAAAATACTAATTCCATTGAGAAAATATCTCATTTACCCACTCAAATTAAGGAAGACTCTTAATTTGAGACATTTTTTACTTATTTCAAGAATGTTTCCTGCCTGAAAATGATCTACCTGTGTGTCCTTTCTGTAACATATACGCCTGTGAGTCAACTGTTAAAACTGGGGTCTGAGGGGATGAAAACATGTTGGAAAGCTTTTATGTTTATCTCTGGATCTCAACTAGATTCCCGTGTGCAAAACAGACACGCCTCACAACACGGGGCATGTGACACACATATTTACTCTGTGAATCATCTCCCATTATACTGCTGTAGGTTCAACATTCCAGCAAAATCACATCCAGCAGGAAATCTGCTTTTCTGTGTTAAGACTTTGAGAGTTCATTGCCAGGTCATGTCCAGCAGAGGGCGCTGTGCAGTTTCTGTTGGCAGGTCAGCTCAATAATGATCAGATATGTGAGCAGTAACTGGTTACCGGTATATTTACTGAGTTATGTGTCCTTTAGTTAATATTTTTTTTAAAAATTGATTAATAGTTTTACTGCATTGTACTTTTTATTTTACCTTGAGTATAAATATGATGAAGTATTATCTCCCTTACTTGAGTAAAATTTCTGTCTATTCTACTCATTGTAACTTCAAAGAAGAACAAGTTTGTTTTAAACAGCGATGACACGCCTATAGTTAATAATGTTAAAGTAATATTTCATTTTTTGACTCAAGCTTCAAGTGATAATACAGTTAATTATATTTTATCTTGTTACTGGAAGTAAATCAC